ACTATCTACTATGGCCCATGTTTGCTACCAATGAAGGGACACATCAAGCACTGACCAGACAAACTGAGCTTATACTCTAAGCTTAGATTTCTGGCATCCTTTGAAGCAAGCAGATAAGCAGTCCAAACCACCTCCTTACCTTTAATCAAAGCAGGTCAAGTCTTTCTCTAAAGTAAGATTCTGAAGCTACAAAACATCAAGTCCCTGAACCACCTGAGCTAGCAAGGAACCTTCTCAGAGTCCTTTGGCTGTGGAGAGGTGCTATTCCAATGACTGGTTGGCTTCTGGTGTCTCCAAAGGGAAAGTTCTTCACATCCAAGTCAGAAGAGAACATACTTCAGACTGGAGAGGGCTGGCTTGCATAGGATACAACCAGAAACTCCACAGAGCTCCATCACCAGTATTAGCATTCATATATGTGCAAGCACAGGAGATAGGGGCCATCCATGCAGATGTGCAGAAAAAGAATAGCCACCTTAAGCTGCCCATGGCAAACAAATGAGCTGGAGTAACTGAACAACTAAAAGAAAAAGCCTTGTGTCAACTACATGCTATGCCAGTGGGAGAAAAATGAATGTTGCCTTTCTCAGCATGAGGGATGCGCAAAAAGCATGCCACCAATTGAGAAGCGCCCTCTGAATCTTCACTCTGAAGTATCAGGTACCTCACCAAACCACAGCAGCCGTAGAGACCACCTCTCCACAGTGAGGCCTGAAGCAAAGATAAGGCCTGCACTGAAAAGCAGCCTTACTAAAAAAGTTGTTAAAGCAGCCCCTGCCTTCAGTCAGAGGCCTCCTTTCAATTTATACTCTCCAGACCTAACCCAGTACATCAATTCCACCTTCCACTGGGAAGGAGAGCTGCTTGCTAAACCAGAGGATTAGTTTGAGACAGGCTTTGCCTAGGACAAGAACAGCTGAAAGCATCCCAGAGAATAGCCTTTTCCCATCACTTGCAACCCAGCTAGAGGGCTGGAGCTCCCAAGAATCCATGGAGGGATTTGGTGCCCACCATCCCCCCTAAAGTCTTACAGAATACAAGAAAATGCTATATTCTGGGAATGCCAGCCCTGGATCAGCCTGACAAAGCAGTGGCACTGTCTCCTGACACCGCAGCTATCCTGAGGCTGCCCAGGACCGTGCCCTGCTGAGCAGCAGGAGAAGGGCTACGTGGAACAGACCTGACACAGCTGCTGCTTGGGCCTCCAGCAACAAAAGCAGCAGTGCCATCAATGCCAGAACACACCATGGTGCTTCAGACCATTTAGTGTCACATTTCTCCTCCTGCACTGAGCTGGGCTTTCTGAACAGAACTACTTCTCCCCTAGAGTTGCATAGAGTCCCTGTGCATGTGCTGCCTTAAAAACACCCCCTCTTCCCTGCCGCTTCCCCTCTGACACAAACTGTGACCAGATGAAGTAAAGGTCACATCTGTCTTTTTTTTCAAAAAAAATTGATGTCTTTTTTTTTTTTTTAAAAAAAAAGAGACTGTGGCTATGCTATGGGCCATGTGAGCCCATCACTCCGTAAGCTAACTTAGACCTACAGTCACAGTTAAGGCAGGCAGATGGACTAGGAAGTGCCCAGGGGACAGCTTAAGGAAAACTGTCACTAGACAACAGCCTTATATAGGCAGCCCTGCTTCCTGGGGTCAAATGGGTTAAGTTATAAGCTGCTTTAAAAATATATATATATATATATATCATTGCTTCACAAGATGAGGTAGCCTGGATACTAATACTTCAGAGGAGTTCTGCACTAGTAGGAAGAAGAATCATGCAGGCCTTGGCCAGACTTTTCCTATCCTTAAAGCTGAACAAAAGGATGTCCAAAAGCTCTGCTGGTACTTTGAAAGCCTCTCTCTTCCCCACCCTCCAGGTTTTCACCAGCAATGCCTTAAGTGTCTCTGACCTTCAGCTCTTAGACCAGAAGTAAATTCTCTTAAGATGGAAGCAGCACATGGAGAGAAAAGAGCCAGCAGAGCAAGCCAAGGGAAACCAGATCCAGATGTGCTGCTTACAAGCTCAAACCTGTGCTCCAGTGTCCATAGCACAGCAAAGCAGTGCAGGAAGCAAGAGCAAAGCTTTGGTCAGAAAGCAGCATGCATCATATCATACTTGATTTCCTTCCCATCTTGGCCCTTCCTTCCCCTTATATACTGCACAGAGATTAATAAGATAGGACAGGCCATTTTCTTTCAGATTTCCTCACGTCTTCAATCACACACTTCCCTACTACGCCATCTCCCTTCAGAAGGGCAGCACCAGCAGTATGGCCCCCAGCCCAGCTTCCCTGTTTAGATGACAACGATTCAGGTTTCACAGAGGGATGCACGGGAGAATGCGTGTGGGAGAAAGGACAACAGCCCAGTTGGGGTCACACAGCCAAGCTGCTCCGCCTCCTGCAAAACTTTGGCCCTTCCCAACCCACTCGGATCCAAAAGGAGCTCAGACTCCATCTTTTGCTAAAGCTCACGCTCAAGCAACTCCATCCAGCAGACTGGCTCATTGCTTCAAACAAGCCAGCCCCAAGCTCCTCCTCCCTCCAAATTCCACTTCAGATAGACGACTTAGGACTAAGTCAACTCATCGAAAAATCAAAACCAGCCGTTGGGACTTGAAATGAGACAGGAATCGTTCTCTGCAGCCTGCCCAGCCTATTTAAGGGAGCACTTCTGCTACTTGGCAGGCTTCATAGCTTGGCTGCTCAGGGCAGCTCAGCTGCCACTCCAGATGTGGCAGTATCTGTTCCTCTTCCAGGAAAAAACATAGCCTCCCTTTTCCTTCCCTATTAAAGGGATCAGTGGGCATTAGACACAGCAGCTGGGCACTGGGAGAGACACTACATAGGAGTCACAACAGCTGTGATGTTCCTTAGCTTCAGGGATTCCCTCCCTTCCCCATCTCTTCCAAAACTCTGGCTGCTCTGTTTAATGAACACAGTAGGCCAACATTCAGAGAAACTGCCTTTCCAACTAGCTTTAGTTCAGGACTTCCTATCTATTCTGCAGACACTCAAGATACTTACAAGGAACAGGAGATTGAAGAGAAAAAGGAAGTATTTGGTGACTTTTATGCAGCCAGACCCCATCTTCTTTCACTTACAGGATCTAAAATGAAAGCAGAAAGATAGCCAGATGTGTTAGTATCATGTCCCCCAGGCAGCTTCAGAGTAACACCTGTGCAAGCCCCTGGATCCCTTACTCGGTCTCTGAGCAAGCACACAGAAAGCATATTCAACATAGGGTTGCCTTCTCACAGCAGCCAAAAGAGACAGCCTAGTCATTAGTAATACAAGCAGCCACAGCTATCAAGACCTCCTGAAGAGTGACAGAGGATTTGCAGCAGTTACAGAAGGGATTTAATCACAAAGACACTGCTAATTTCATCACTATTTACAAGGACTTTGCATTAACAGCGTCAGCCAAAATGTCAACAGTAGCTACTAGTCACAGCTGAGGGAAGTGAAGCACTTCTCTGAAGAGACCACTAGGCCTATTCCCTCCCCCAAAAAGGAGAAGAGCAAGGCCAAGAGGTCAATTTAAAAGGCAGCATCACATCAAGCTTCCTGTACGCAACAGCACTGAATGACTTGGCAACTCATGAATTTGGAGCAGACTGCTCCAGTCACACACAACCAATTCATCCGCCACAAAGGCGGGGAAGTTTAACAGGTCCATTTCCAAAGCCCCCCTTGCAAGCTCGAGCCAATGGGAGAGCACTGATGAGATGGGATAGCAGTTGCAGTTTGCTGGATGGCTAGCAAGAAACAGAGCAGGCAGATGCAGTCCCAGCGCAGGAGGGCATTGGGCAGGTGCACCTGGAAGAACCCATGCTGCAAAGAGCCATCTCTGCAGCCTATTCCTTCTCACTAGAGCATGCTAGGTCAATGGTAAAGCACTTTTACTGTATCTGAAGTTAGCTCTGTTCAACTAAAGCTTCTGGAACTCAGGCAAATTTGGGTCCTAGGAAGAAAGAAGGGGAAGGTGGCTCTGGCTCCCACACATTGAACAGCCAGGTAGCAGTGGATCCTCATCAGGTCTTTGCACTACAGGACTCCATGGTAAACAGATCTGTACTACCACAAGCTACCCCAGTTCTCCCTTATCTGATAGCAAAGTGTTTCAGAAGTTAGGCATAGAAAACCCCCCAGACTTCACTGCTGGAGTTTTCCCCTCCTTGGGAAGCACCAAAGCCAAGTGACAGATGGGGATGTGTGGGGCAGTCTGTTCAGGCAGTCAGCTCTCCTGCTTCTTCCTCCTTGTGCCCACCGTGCTTCCCGCAGGGGCTGGGAATGCCCGAGTTCCTCAGAGCTTGCTCTGGAGCCGCCTGCTTCGCCAGCCGCATTGCCTGGAGACCCGACAGCCCCGGGGAGCACGAGGGGCCTGTCCAGCCTGCGAAGCACCAGCCCTGACGGGCAGCAAGGTCAGCAGGGCTTCCTGCTGCCAGCCGAGCGCCACGGGAGCCCAGCGCCTTCTTTTGTTTCAGTCAAAGGCTTTTGCTTAATCCTATTAAATATTTAGGTTAATTCTGGAGCTGAACTGGTGCAGAGCCGTTATAACTAACTAGCCTTCCAGCGAAGCAGCAGACGTTTGCAGGCTACCAGGAGAGGCTGAGCCTGAACTCTGTGGCTGAAGGCAACACTGCTGCTCCCATTTCAACAGATGGCCCAGCTCAAGGCACAGCTGCACAGCACCGAGAAAGAGACACCCAAATAGTCTCATTATGTTGTGGCACAGTCTGCGGTTCAAAAGCCCAATATATAACCCAATATACTAAATAAGCCTTGCTCCTGTTGGGGCAGTTATCCCATCACATATCATAGAGCAGCTCCCTGTCAGAGAGCAGCCTTAACTCACAGACCTGAACCTCCCTTGATGGCATCCTGGGAAAGGGGAGAGCGCTGGAGCACAGGCAGCATGAACAGTGCTTCATTTGGACCACCCCTCCTTTCCTCTGCAGGAGGGGTATGGTCTCCCAGGCCACTGACCCTGGCAGGCACAAAATTACCCTCTCCGGGCTAGTTGTAAGACACCAGTTTCCTGGTCCAGCTGGCTTCACCACAAACACAGCTCCTCTCTCCACAGGATCAGACTGGAGCCTAGCAGGCTCCCTGAACACTGGGGCAGCCAGGTCCCTCTGTACCAAAGTGACAGAAAAAAGAATCGCTTTCAAGACTCTTCTGCTCCCAGCATTTTGTTTAAATGCAGGCTATCTTTAGAGGTGTAAAAACCCCCATCCTGTGCACTAGTGTTACACACTCTCCTCCCCTAACCATGGAGGGGGGAGATGTTCCTCTCACAAAGCTCCTGGCCACGAGCAAGCCATTCCAAGTACAGTTTGCAGCCCAAGGGAGACCCAGGTAAGGTTTTTAGAAGCTTTGAGCTATTAAGGGATACTTCAGGATTTCATATATTGAAATATTACATGTTCCTGAGTTCCTGCATTACAGCTAGGAGGATAAGATTACTTCTGTTCAGTACATTAACAGAGGGACTCCTCAAAGCCCTGTTTCTGGAAAGCGCCCAGCTGCTCACAGAGTAGCAACACTGCAGAACAGAAGTAGCAGCTGAGCAAAAACGGGGAAGGGTCAGGTTTGGGAAAGGGGAGTTTGGAGTCACCACAACCGCTCCTGTCTGTGGACCATATAATTTCAGTAGTTCCTTCGACAAGCCACTCCAGAGCAGAGCGACCCCCACACTCTGCCCATACCGCTCTCACTCTTACCCTAAGCAGTTAAGCACTTGGTTAAACCCTGGAGTCCCATCAGGCGCTGCTGGCCACATATTGCAGCAGTCCGAGCTGAACAGGCGCCTTTTAAAGCCGGCCAAGTTCCGAGTCTAACATCCTGCAGCAGGGCCTGCGAACACGCAGCGTGGGGACTCTCCAGCTCTTTCATTTCACTGGTTGTCTGCCAGGGCTCTTTGCTTCCTCCCTTTCCTCTCCACCCCAACTGCTTTGACCATTTGAATTTTTGTTTTTAACTAAGCTGACCCACCCTTTCTTTTCAACAGTCCTGCCCACATGCCTCCAGTTTTCAACACCATTCTCCAGGTGATTTCATGAGAAACTGTATGTCAGCATATGTAACACTTCTCCTAGCCCCTCCCTGCCCATACCCCCATGGTATGAAGGATTATTTCTGCATCTCTTGGCTCTTTGGAGGCACTGCTGCAGTTAAAACTTGATTGCCAAACAACCTAGTCTGCTTCTGTGCAGTTTAATCCTAGGTCTTAGCCTGGCTTCCGCCCTTAAACCTGCAGTGAGAACTAATCCCAGGAGGTCATTAACTGCACGAGGTCCTTGGGGTTCCCCACAGGGGAGGATCAACACTCAGGTCTGCACGGGCTAAGCAGGCATCGAGAGCCCTGCCTCCTTCACCACCTCCAGCTTCCAGGCTTGTCCCTCTCCCAGGGAAAGGGAAGGCAGCAAAAACAGTATGTGGAGCACAAAATCCAGGACACACAGCTGAGGAGAGGCAAACAGAGGCCTGCTTTGTTAGTGACAGCAGAAGAGCCTTGTCACAGCTCAGGGATTCATTTGTTTCTGTAACAGGAGTCTGTGGATACTTCAAAACCCTTCCTGCAAGAGGTGACCATGGCAAAGAATGGCGAGACCAGGAAACCTGAACGCTTCTCCCTCACAGGACACACGAGAAGCAGCACCACAAGCTGTGACCAACCCCTTGCACAGGAGGAGGAGCCTGTGCACGGATGTCACAGCCACATCAGAGGGGCTGGGAGGCAAGGTTAATTTTTAATTGTAATTCTGCTCTCTTGAAACGGATGCTCTGCTGCTCCCACCTAGCAGGCACTGTATGTTTTACGCTCGCTGAAGTGAGGTTTATGACACTTGGCTCCAACCAGCACCGTACAGGTCTGCAGCTCCCCTGGTAGATGTTCAGTCTTCATTTGCAGCATCATCCTATTGCTCCTGCAAGACACCTTTCCTCCTGCTCAGCTCTGACAGCTGAAGCTCCTAAGCTGCCTGGTTACTGTACTGCACAAATAAGGGGCTCGGTTACAAGAGCAGCAGCAAAGGCGGCTGCAACAACCTTCACACAAGCCAGAGGCCATCAGCTTGTGGAAGTAGTCACCACAGTGTGGTTTACAGGCAAGTGCAAAGGTCCCCTGAACTCAGAGAGCAAACACACACAAGAGCAGTGAGCTCCGAAGGTCAGCTCCAACCACTGTGCATCAAGCATGAGAGGGGACACATTTGAGTGCATGTATGTAGCCTGGAAGAAGCTGTCCCCTCTCCCCCAGACCCTTTTGCCCTAACAGTGGCTGCAGGTCATATTCTGGCCACAGAACTGGCTCTGACCATTTGGTGAACCAGAAGATCAGTAAGCTGTTGATTCCATAAACTTGCTTACCTGCATGTTAGCCTATGTAAAGTCAATGGCAATATTAAGGCCAGAGCAGTTGCTCTTTAGGGGAACTTGCTTCCTGGCAGAGCTGGAAGAGGCAGCTGCACAGCTCATTCTCTAACACAGAAATCAGAACCACAGTCAGCTGTTCCAGGCTAGAGATGCACAGAAGCCAGCTGAGGATTAGAAATCATTTGCTAAATAGTCATTCCTACATTCAGCTCCATGCCTGACACCTGCATGCAAGAAGAGCTAGAGAAGAGGCAGCTCAGAAGGCCCCTTTTTAAGTGGCATTCGGCCTAAATGCAGCCTAACTTTCATGGGATTTCAAGTCTTTACCTCCCAAAGCCCTGGGAGACAGGGAGTGTCTCTCCACCCACACACAAGAGCAGCTATGACTTGGCAATGCAAAGGGCTCCTGGTCACCAGTGATGGGAAGCAACAGCTTCACACAACAGTTCTACAGCACCTGTTAATGAATAACCACAGAATCACCGAGTCTTTTGTTTACAAGGTGCGGCATTACCCTAAGGGCAGGGAAGACCAAAGTCACTGTCCTGTTAACATGCAAAAAATCTGTTGGAGCTCATCTTGTTCATATGAACATTCATTGGCCTTGGACTCTTCACACACCTGGGAAGTACATCTTGTCTCTGGCAAACAAGTAACTGTGGAGCCAGGAAAAAACAAATCTAGGTCTAAATTCACTGAATTTGTTTAAACGCCACTGAGATAATACCAGCTGTTTAGCAAGCC